AAAGAAATAAAAGGTATCCAAATTGGTAAGGAAGAAGTAAAACTGTCACTGTTCGCAGATGAAAGGATATTATGTACAGAAACCCCCAAAAAACTTCTAGAAAAACTATTAGAACTGATAAATGAATTCAGTGAAGTCGCAGGATAAAAACTCAATATACAGAAATTCGTTGCACTGCTGTACACTAATAATGAAGTAGCTGAAAGAGAAATTAAGACAACAATCCCATTTATAATTGCACCCAAAATAATAAAATACCTGGGAATAAACTTAACCAAGGAGGTGAAAGACCTGTACTCTGAAAACTATAAACATTGATGAAAGAAATTGAAGATGACACAGAGAAATGGAAAAACATTCCATGCTCAGGGATTGGGAGGACAAACATTTTTAAAAATGTCTATACTACCTAAAGCAACCTACAGATTTGATGCAATCCCTATCAAAATATCAACAGCATTTTTCACAGAACTAGAACAAATCAGCCTATAATTTGTATGGAACCACAAAAAATCCTCAAATAGCCAAAGCAATATTGAAAAAGAACAAAAAAACTGGAGGTACCACAATCCTAAATTTCAAGATAGACTACAAAGCTGTAGTCATCAAAACAGTATGGTACTAGCACAAAAATAGACACATAGATCAATGAATGGAACAGAATAGAGAGCCCAGAAATAAACCCATGATTATATGGTCAATTAACTTTGACAAAGGAGGCAGGAATATCCAATGGGAAAAAGACAGTCTCTTCAACAAATGGTGTTGGGAAAACTGGACAGCTACATGCCAAAGAATGAGACTGGACCACTTTCTTACACCACACACAAAAATAAATTCAAATGGATTAAAGATCTAAATGTGAGACCAAAACCATAAAAATCCTCAAAGAGAGCACAGACAATAATTTCTCTGACATTGACTATAGCAACATTTTTCTAGATATGTCTCCCGAGGCAAGGGGAACAAAAGCAAAATTAAACTATTGGGACTACATCAAAATAAAAAGCTCTACACAGCCAAGGAAACAACCAAAAAAACTAAAAGGCAACCTATGGAATGGGAGAAGATATTTGCAAATGACATATCTGATAAAGGGTTCGTAGACACAATATATAAAGAACTTATACAACTCAACACCCAAAAACCAAATAATCCAATAAAAGTTGGGCAGAAGATGTGAACAGACATTGCTTTAAAGAAGACATACAGATGGCTAACAGAGACATAAATAGATGCTCACCACCACTCATTGTCAGGGAAATGCAAATCAAAACTATAATGAGATATCACATTACACTTGTCAGAATGGCTATAATCAACAACACAGGAAACAACAGGTCATTGGCAAAGATGTGGAGAAAGGGGAACCCTTTTGCACTATTGCTGGAATGCAAACTGGTGCAGCCACTGTGGAAAACAGTATGAAGGCTCCTCAAAAAGTTAAAAATAGAACTATCCTAGATCCAGCAATTGCACTACGAGGTATTTACCCAAAGAACATGACAACACTAATCTAAAGAAATACACACACCCCTATGTTTATAGCAGTATTATTTACAATGGCCAAGATAAGGAAACAGTCCAAGTGTCCACTGACAGATGAATTGATAAAGAAGATGTGGTGTATATATACAATGAAATATTACTCAGCCATAAAAAAGAATGAAATCTTGCCATTTGCAATGATCTGGATGGAACTAGAGAGTATAATGCTAAGTGAAATAAATCAAAGACAAATACCATATGATTTCACTCATATGTGGAATTTAAGAAACAAATGGACAAAGAAAAAAAGATGAACAAGAAACTAGACTGTTAAATACAGAGAACAAATTGTTGGTTACCAGAGGGGAGGTGGGAGGGGGAGAATAGGTGAAATAGTGAAGGGGATTAAGAGTACACTTACTGTGATGAGCACTGAGTAATGTATAGAATTGTTGAATCACTCACTATGTTGTGCACTGGAAACTAATATAACACTGTATGTTAATTACACTGGAATTAAAATAAGATAAAACGACAACAAAAAATAATCCCAACCATGATCTAAAACAAAAGCAAATAGTGCCAACAGGAGAGAAGTATTAAGTGAAGGTGCCCTTCCCCACCTCACTTTTAGAAGCAGTCACAAGTACTAGCAGTGTCTTGTGTATCTTTCTAGAAACTTCCTAAGGATGTGCAAGCATGTGAACATATATCCCTCCTTATACAAATGGGATCCTTCTAAACAATGTTCTGCATTGATTTTTCCCAACAATATATTTTTAGCAGAGCCAATCAGAACATGAAAGTCACTATTTTAAAGTGTACAAGTCAGTGGTTTTTAGTATATTCAACTGTGTTGTGTACCCATCACCACTAATTCCAGGGCATTTCCATCACTCCCAAAAGAAACACTGTAGCTGTTAGCAGTTATTTCCAATTTGCCCTCCCCTTCTATCCCCTGGCAACCACTAATCTACTTTCTGCGTCCATGGATTTACCTTTTTTGGACATATGAGTGGAATCCTATAGTATGTGGTGTCTTGTGTCTGGCTTTTTTCCCCCTTGTATGTTTTCAAGTTTCACTCATGTTGTAGCCTGTATCAGTACTTCATTCCATTTTATGGCCCAATAATATTCCACTGTATGGATATGCTGCATTTTGTCTACCCATTTGTCTATTGATAGATACTTGGTTGTTTCCCTTTTATTATGTAGCAATATTCATTATTCATAATGCTACATAATAAAAAGGATGTGCAAGCATGTTAATATAGGTATAGTTTTCCCTCCTTATACAAATGGGATCCTTCTAAACAATGTTCTGCATTGATTTTGCTACTATGACCATTCACAAACAAGTTTTTGTGTGAATACACGTGTTTTCATTTCTCTTGGGTATATGCCTACAAGTGGAATTGCTGGGTCATATGGAAATTCTATATTTAACTTTTTGAGGAACTGCCAAACTTTCTTGCACACTGGCCTCACCGTTTTACATTCCCAGCATAAATGTATGAGGGTTACAATTTTTCCTTCATCCTCACACTCCTTTTTCATTTAAAAAAATTATTGTTATTAGTGGATAAGTGTTATCTCCTTGTGGTTTTGATTTGCATTTCCCTAATGAGTAATGGTGTTGAACATGTCGTCATGTGTTTATTGGCCATCTGTACATCTCTGGGGAGATGTTTATTCAAGTCCTCTGTTTTTAAATTGGGTTGTCTTTTTGCTGTTGAGTCATGGGTTTTTAAAAATATATTCTAGGTAGTAGTTGCTTAGCAGATATAGGATTTACAAATTTTTCTCCCATTCTGTGGGTTGTCTTTTCATTTTCTTTTTGGTGTTCTTTCACCTAAAAGAGTTTTCAGTTTTGGCAAAGTCCAATTTGTTTCACTGCTTGTGCTTTTAGTTTCATATCTAGGAAACCATTCCCTAATCCTAGGTCACACAGATATACTGTTTTCTCCTAATAGTTTAAGAGTTTTCACTCTTACATTTAGGTCCTTGATCCATTTTGAGTTACTTTTTGTGTCTGGTGGGAAGTAGGGGTCCAAATTCATTCTTTCATGTGTGGATATCCAGTTGTCCCAGACCATTTGTTGAAAAGATTATTCTTTCCTGGGAACAATATATTTGGGGCATAAATTCATATTTCATATATGTATGTTTCCTATTCTTTTCAATAATTTATGTATCTTATTTTTAAAGAACTGTTAATAATAAAGCATTCATCAATAAATATTTACTGAGAGTCTCCCTACTAGATTCTGAGCATACAGCTGTGAATGAGACCGGCACAGTTCCTGTCCTAAATGAGTCTACATTCTAGAGGGGGACACAGACAATCAATTATCCAGGAAAGGGGCCAATAAAACAACAGCAATTGAGAACTATACGAGATAACAAATCGAGAGATGGGGTGGAGAATAAAGGGTTGGGTGAGGGTGTACCTGATCAGAAGGCCAGTCTTCCCAGAGGAATCAGAGACCAGCTGCGCAGTCTAGCAGAACTAGTTCGGCTTGCTGGAGGAAATGGAAAGAGATAGGGGAGCCCTGGGATTGTAGAGTGAGGGGTGAAGTGGTGAGAAATGTGGGGGAGACCAGCTAGGCAATAAGAGCAATGGAGTGACTGGGGCACAGCTGATTTGCACTTTGGGAAGATCACAAAAGTTGGCTCTATTGAGACTAGATTGGAGCGAAGGCGTGGTGGAGGCTGCGGATCAGCTGCGGTGTTATTTTCCTAAGAAGCTAGGCGTGTAGGAGGGGTTTGGGTCCGGAGGGCAGTGACGTGCGGCCAAGTGAAGGGACTCCAGACTGAATCCGGGTTGAGGGGGTGGGGTGGAGGAGTTCAGACAATGAGTAAGGGCTGAGGCAGTGTGGGACAGCACAAAGTTTAGTAGGAAATGCAACTGGAAGAGCGTAGGCAGGGGTCCCGGTGGAGGGGCTGGGTGGTGGGGAAGGATCTCGGGGCACTTCGCGCAAGGTCTGTGAGCCAAAGGCCAGCGGCAGCTAGGCTGTTAGCAGTTCAGTGAGCCCAGCCTGGTGCCCGAACCCTGACTCTCCCAGTTCCCAGCTACGTGACCTCGGGCAAGGGACTCAAGCTATCTGTGCCTCAGTTTCCTCACATTTGTAAGTGTGAAGATAGTTGGCTGCTATTCTTAATCCACTACCCAGATGAAAGATACGATTGTTAAGTCAGGCGAGCGTCGTTCCCCATGCAGGAGTCAAACCGCAGCTTGCGAGGTCGGGGTCGGCCGAAGTCCCCAAGTTCGGCGGCAAGCCGGACCCGCGGGGCCGCGCCTGGGCGGCGCCGACCATCCCCAGCCCGGCAGGCCTCGCGCGGCGCCCCTCTGGCTCACGCGCACGCGCAGCTCCGGGCCGGAGTCCGGTCTCGCTCCGCGCCGGGCTTTGGCGTCGATCCGTCGCGGCGGCCGCAAGGCGTCGCGCACGGCTGGGCGGGGCGGGCCGCGCTTCCTCCGAGGCGGCGGCTGGGAAGCCGCGGCTGGGCCCAAGATGGATCTTCCGAAGCTGCTCGCCGCCCCGACCGCGCGCGGAGCCCAACATGGCGGCGGCGGCGGCCCCGGCCGACTCCGTCGAGGCCCGGGGCCACCGTCTAGCCCGGGCCCCGCGCGCCGCCGCCTGCTACTGCTGCGGGGTCCGGAAGATGGCGGGCCGGGGCCGCTGCGCGGGGAGGCCCGGGTGGCGTCGGCGGCCCCGGGGCCGAGCCCCCCGCCCCCCGAGGACGGTGGCGACTCTTTCGTGGTGTTGCTGGAAGTGGCGCGTGGCGCCGCGGCCGAGGCCCCCGGGCGGCGGGAGGTCGGGTCCGGCGCTGGCGCGAGCCCAATGCCTTACCCCCAGCAGGGCCCCAGCGGCGCAGCCGCCGCCCCCGGGTCCGGCGCGGCCCTTGCGGGCACCGTCACCATCAACAGCCAGGACCTGCTGGTGCGCTTCGATCACGGCGTCTTCACGCTGGCCGCCGCGCCGCCGCAGCCCTGCCAGCCTCCCCAGGGCCCGCCCGCGCCGCCGGGCGAGGAGGCCGCGAGCCCGGCCGAGGGCCGCCGCGGTCCCCAGGGCCCCGGCTCTGGTGCCCCGGGCTACCGCTGTCCCGAGCCGCAGTGCGCGCTCTCTTTCGCCAAGAAGCACCAGCTCAAGGTGCACCTGCTGACGCACGGTAGCAGCCAGGGCCGGCGGCCCTTCAAGTGCCCCCTGGACGGCTGTGGCTGGGCCTTCACTACCTCCTACAAGCTCAAGCGGCACCTGCAGTCGCACGACAAGCTGCGGCCCTTCGGCTGCCCGGTGGGCGGCTGCGGGAAGAAGTTTACCACCGTGTACAACCTCAAGGCGCACATGAAGGGCCACGAGCAGGAGAACTTGTTCAAGTGCGAGGTGTGCTCCGAACGCTTTCCCACGCACGCCAAACTCAGCTCCCACCAGCGCACCCACTTCGAGCCCGAGCGGCCCTACAAGTGTGACTTTCCCGGTAACCGCGCACCACGGGCCTGCGGGCGGGCTTCGGGGGGCGCCCAGGGCCCCAGGTCCAAATTCAGTTGCCCAGAGTGGGTGCGGCGTCGCCCTGCCTTCGACTGCTCAGTTGGGCAGGATTTTAAATTCCGTGGGCCAAGAGTGAGGGGCGGGAACGGAGCACTCTGGTGTTTGTGTTCTAGTTCTTTTCAGGTGATTTCGATTTGACACTTCAACCCTGCCTTGCTGTGGGGATTTCGACAAAGGTAGCACTAAGAATTACAGCCTTTCTTCCCCGCGGTGGAGGCAACAGGTCCCTCTTAGAGGTGCTTCAGGTTAATGAAGGTGATAAAGCATCTTCCTAGAGATTTGATTTATGAGTCAGGTGTCTGTTTTCTTGGGTCTTTCATCAGTTAGACATTCAATTAGATATTTAGGTGGCACAGATGAATCTGGCTAGATGCAACACCCCAAGGCCCCGAGGGGATAGTCACAGGGGTGTGGTGCATTGCAGTTTTCTGACCTTTTATGCTTTTATTTTCTTTGGACTTAACAGTTTTGGAAGTTCTAAAAATTATTTTACAGATGAAGAGTCTGAGGCCCAGTAATGTGGGTAAAATCCAGTGAAGGGTCCTTTCCCCTCTGTCATTGCCTGCAGTAGGAGGGAATGCAGGGTTCAAAACAGTGAACTCCACCAGGAGAGGCAGATTTAGGTGCCTGGGGAGGCACAGGAGGAAGAGAAGATTCCTGCCTGGGAAGGAGTTGGCTTGCTTGAGCTGGGGTGGAAGGCAGTGTTGGTGGGTGACACAGCAAAGCCAAGGAAGGGAATGCGGGCTGTGGTGGTGGTGTGAGGTGGGGAGTGAAGTTGGAAGGGTGTGGGAGGGCCCAGTAGAGGGGGAGGGACCTTCCGTGTCCTCTTCATTAAAACAGAACCTCAACTGTGTGCCTAGCATGCGCCCTGCGTGTGTATTGATGCATTATATTTGTGCAGTGCTCTCATAGTAATGTGTTTGTTATAAAATACACTTAAATGTAGTAGGGATTTTGAAAGGGTGAAATGAAAAACGTATTAATAGGTTCTAATATTTTTTTCCCCACATGCTTGTGAATGGTCTTTTGCATCCCTCTTTGTGGAGAATATAGGTTTAAACCACTGTTTTAGAACCTTAGTAATACACTGTGAATCTGGCTTATAGACTGCTCCCTAGTAAAATGCACAAAGAGCATCATTCCAAGTATAGTACTAGGAAGATCAGGGAGTTTTGGGTTGGATGATCAGTGGTGTTCAGGATGGGTGGGTTCAGGAGAGGGACCAGTGAAGCCCCATTAAATGTTCTAGACCTGAGTTTGCTGAGGCAGTGGGAATGGTGAGGGGGTTCCACGTAGGAAAAATTGCAGAGGCAGGGTCAAAAGGCTTGACTGTTGATTGCAGGGAGGGTGGTTCTCTGTAAGGCAGAGCAATTTACCTGTTGGAGTGTGTGAATACACCAAAGCCCAAAATAGGGAATGAGGGGGGTGGGAAGGGAGGGCAGTTTTATGCCAAAGAGGAGGAAGAGGATGATTTTCGGGCATTAGGAAGAGGAGCATTTCCCAGTTGAGTGTTGCGAGGGTGAGTAGGGTTCCTGGGGCTCGTGCTTCGATGTGCAGCGTGTATCCGCTTGGTGGTGTATAGGCACGATGGTTGCGTGTTACAGACTCTGGGAAGAGCTGCCGCAGAGATACCTGGTCAGCATCTTGCAACCTGGTATTTTCTACTCTATTTAAGCCTGAACCTTTTTGTTAAAGGAGAGCTATTGATGTGGAAAGTCTGGGGATTGCTGAGGTAGGCTCCTTTCTGGTGGCTCAACTGGAGTTGAAGATGGGAGTGAAAGAAAAGGCCATGTGAATGAAGACCCTGGTAGCCTCCTTTCACAGCAGGGAACCCTGGTGAAATAAGCAAAAGGAAAAGGAGAAGCGAGGTGACAGCAGGGGCTGCTGCCCTTTGCAGAGGATGTCAGGGAGGACATTTGTAATTTTGGAGGACACAGCATCACGTGGAGGGGCAAAGTCTCGGATAGAACAATGGTTTGTGGCCCTTCCAAGTTCAACCCTCTCAGACAGAATCCTTAGTATCCTAAGATACTGAATCCTTAGAATTAGTATCTAATATCTCTTGTTGGGTTTTCCTTGGTCTCACACAGACAGACAGCATTGACATTTGAGTTCACAAAAAAGAAAGATCTGTGCTGTGGAAACGGGGAGCACGTGGCTGTGATTGGAGGACTTTCCCTTCATCACTTGCTTCCTATCTAAGTCGTATCACAGCAGGTGGCCTGCGTGTGCTTATTGGGTGCCCTTAGCCACTGTTAAAATAATGGTTGTAACAGTGGTTGTAACTTTCTGGAGGTGCTTCTGACTCATTTTCTTTCTTGTTTGCTTCAGTGTGAATAGTGTCCTGGAGGGGTGACTAGTTTAGCTGTGTTATGTGATTTTTGTCACACCAGTGAACAGGGTTTGTGTTTTCTTTGTTCAGGCTGCGAGAAGACATTCATCACAGTGAGTGCTCTGTTTTCCCATAACCGAGCTCACTTCAGGGAACAAGAACTCTTTTCTTGCTCCTTTCCTGGGTGCAGCAAACAATATGACAAAGCCTGTCGCCTGAAAATTCACCTGAGAAGTCATACAGGTAATGAGCTAGAGAATAGAGCATTAGCACCTAAGATTTGTCTTTGTGGTAGCTTGCATTTATGATTATGTGGCGTAATTTTTTTCTTTCCTAAGGTGAAAGGCCTTTTATTTGTGACTCTGACAGTTGTGGCTGGACCTTCACCAGCATGTCTAAACTCCTACGACACAAAAGGTAATCTTTACATTTTGGTTGAATTAGCCATATAGGAAACAAATGAGTTGTTTGTCAGTAGCAGAAGCCTATGGATTAAATATCTGTCGATTTTTTTTAAGTTATAAGGAAGGGAGCCCATTGTAGATAGTTTGGAAAGTTCAGAAAGCTGTAAAAAGAAAACCACTCAGAATCTGATCACCTAATGTCAGTTTTTCTAGGTATACTTGTTTTTTAAATGTAATTTGCATATTTCATATACAATTCAATATTTAAAAAAAATTAACATTGTGGAAGAAGCTTTCCTGATGTCATTCGAAAATTTCCATGCTGATAACGATGTCCTTGGAGGGCTTTGCTTATGTGCAGGTGATGTTCAGCGCTTTACATATGTGTCTCCTTTAACCTTCACGATGACTCTGGCTTTGATGTTGTTACTCTTCCTGGTTTGCATTGGGACACAGAGGGGTTGGGTGGTTTGTCCATGCTTGCACAGTTGGGGATTTGAGGGGTTTTAAGTATAACAGTGTTACTTAGGAAAGAACTGTGTTTATGCATGGACTTGAAGGGGTCCTTTTAGCATTGCAGTTGATTTTCTGTGCATGTTTCTCTTTGCCCTCTGCAGCTTGGAAACCTTGTTTGTTACCAGAATTTCTAAACATTGAAAGTAGCTTCATCAATACGTTTGGGACCCAGCTGTGTGTTCCTAGATTGAAGCAGCACTAATTGATGTGTCTGACTCTCCAGTCAGCCTTGTCATTAAAGCAGAATTCCTAATTACAGGGTTAGCTAAATTGCAAACCTGTCCACATGGGTTAGAGAGAATTAAGATTTTCTGAAACGTACTGATCATTTTCTTTAAATGCTAAGAGTTTGTAATTTGCAGAATTTTAAACAAAGAATCACTTCTGAGGTCTGGTATCTCCGGATTGTGTGAATAATCAATGTTCCCTGTTTTTCTCTTCTGGCAGGAAACATGATGATGACCGGAGGTTTACCTGCCCTGTTGAAGGCTGTGGGAAGTCATTCACGAGAGCAGAGCACCTGAAAGGCCATAGCATCACCCACCTGGGCACAAAGCCATTCGAGTGTCCCGTGGAAGGTAGATTTTAATATATTACTTTGAGCTGTAAACTAGCATGTGTCCATGTTGTTGTAAGTTTAAGTTGTTTAAAGGTAAGTTTTATTTGCTTCAAGACAAGGTGAGTGTAAGTTGCAGCATCAGATTTAATTGGCCGGTTTTAGTTAATTGTTTTATCCTGGGAGCAGTGTATTGAAAAGAACAGACTTTAGGATCAGACCTGGTTTGACTCTTGGCTCTGAAGTGCACTCACCAGATCTGTGGCTCTAGTTATTACCTGTTTAATGTGGTGGTTGTGAGGAGTAGGTGAAATAAGCTTTGAAAACTGCCTGTTTTGGCATCTGGCAGCTATCACGGATTCAGTAAATGGTAGCTATGCATGCTGTGATTGGACAGCAGTCAGGTTAGGCTAGCTTTTTTAAAAAGGGCATTCAGATGTTTTTTCTCTGCACAGCGAAGGCATGATTCATGGGCAGAAGTGTGCCCCATGGCTCGTGTGTGCTGGCCTACTGTAAGTGCTGCAGGTGTGTGGGAGGGCAGAGCAGGTCGGTGTGTGCTTGTGAGTCTCATTCCTGGCTCCCCCCTCCCTCAGGTGATCTCAGGCCACCTTCTCTGGGCCTCAGTTTCCTTATCTGGAAAAGGGATAATAAAGACCAATTTGAAGCTGAGACCGGTTCCTAGAATGTCATGAAGATAATACAGATGGTTTAACCAAGACACAGTTCCTCCTGTCATCAGAGCTCCAGTTGGGGCACGCCAGGTAGACCAGTACCTGTAGGGTGCTGTGGGGACACACAGGTCACCCAGACTGCTCCTAGAGCATGGGGGCATGGGAGTGGTCTCCCAGCTGGCTGAAGAAGGAGGCAGAGCTATCCAGGGGTAGAGGAGGCGGGAGAGGCCAGCGTAGGGGCATCTCCCAGAATGGTGAGAGCAGCAGGCTGGGTGCTCAGGGAAGGGGAGTGATGGGACCATGATTGAGTTTTTAGGCTCAGTCTGGTTTCCTGGAGAGATGATTGGCACCTGCACTGGGGCTTGGCAGTGGGAAGGGAGAGAGGGCACAGATGAGAGAGATAGGAGTTAGACAGTGCACCAGCAGTGCTTGGTGATAGATTTGGGAGTAGGGGTTTTGGGTGAAGCAGTAGTTGGGGCCAGCACCTCACTTGAGGTAGGCACACAGGGCTGGTGGTTGGAGGAAGAGGATGTGCTGCATTTTAGGTGCCCACAGGCTTTCCAAGTTCAGATGCTCAGGAGGCACAGATGTACTGCTTGCTGAGATTGGTGAGGAGGTGGGCTGGGAGTGAGGCAGGCACGGTGATGATCTAAGCCATGGAAGTGGGTGCAGCGCTCAAGGATTGGTGTACGCTGAAGAGGGGCGGAGGAGTGTGGTGATTGAAGACCCGAGGCTTCCTGGACCCCAATCCCAAGCCTGTCGCTTAAGTTGCTCTGTAGCCTCTGACAAGCGGCTCAAGCACTCTCTGCCTCTTTTCCCCATCTTTGAAGTGGTCGTAACACAGGGTTGTTGTGAGAGGGCCCTATTAGGTAACAGGTTTAATAGAGGCATATAGAAAACAGCAAATGTCAGCTACTGCCATTGTTAACCATTGCTATGAAACCAAAAAGGCCTAGGACAAAAACCCTGGGGACCGCCACAAACTCAGGTTGAAAAGTCGAAGGGGTCCCCTGGGAGGGGCCTAAGAAGGAATGGGAAGAGTGTAGCCTTGGTAGCACTGAAGCCAAGAGAGGAGGATGTCTGGGAAAGGAGAGGGTCCGTCCTGAGTGCTGAGGGGCGGCAGTTTGGTGAGGACCACGGACTCCTCCAGCAGGGTCAGTGGGGTCTTGCAGGGTGAGGGTCAAGGTTCGGTGGAGTAGCTCAGGCAGAGCCCTGCTCTAGTGTCCTGAGCGGTGGGGTAGGGTAAGGCAGGAGGTGGCTTGTGAGGGAGGGAAAGAGGAAGGGGATGGTAGCTGGCTACAGAGGAGGGGTGGTTTCTGCCTTGCAGTAACTGGAGCCTTGAGAACTTTGAGCGTGTTGAGCTGGTAGAGGCAGGTGCAGATGGGGTGACCCTTGGTGCTTGGTTGAAGAGCATGCTTCTCCAGGGAGTGGAGGTGAGGGCAGGAGCCTGGGGAGAGGATCCTAGGACCCTTGTTTGGGTCAGCTGAGAGTTGATGATTTTTTTTTTTTTTAATGAGAGTTGATAATTCTTGAATATGGGTGACTAGACCATTCTTTCTGCTTTTGTAACGTTTGAAATGTTTCATAATAAAAAGTTAAAAACAACAAAAAGTCAAAGAACCGTCACCACCCATCTTTTCATAGTAATTGGAGGAGACGGGGAGGGTAGGGCCACACAGAGGTGAGTGTGTATGAGGGAGGGCAGGGTGGCGCGCGTGTGTGTGGTGGTGGTGGCCACGGTGGCATCACCTCTAGTATGCCGTGGCAGTGTATACAGAGTCAAAGCATACAGAGTAGAGGTCAGAAGATGTGTGTGGTCCTCCTGTAAGTGGTAGATGGGAATTGAGATTCCCATGGCGTTTGTCATTGTTGGGCTGCTTCTGCCCCTCCTCTGGGTGGGGGTAACTTGGTATAAATGTGGGGTGCTCGTATTAATAGTTTTGATTTGTTAAGAATGGTTACAAATCTCGGTAGATACTGTTGCAGTTAGGAAAAGACAGCCATTAACACTCGTGGAAGAATGGTCACATTGCTGGCCATCAAAGGATGTATAAATGAAAATGAAAAATATTTTGTTCTCTGTCGAGTTAGCAAGTATTTTTTAAAATGGAAACCACTGCTGACCAGTGTGGCAGACATCCCTGTTGTGGTTGACCCCTGTCCTCGGCAGAGCAGTTTGGTAAGCAGTGTTTTTGGCGCCTCGCCCCTGTGCTGTGCCCCCTTAAGTCTGTGTGGAGGAGTCCCAGCTGGAAAGGGGGCCGAGGGACATTGCAGGTACAGAGTACCCCTAGGCACCGTGTGGAGCAAAGCACACATTGCAGACAGTGCACCTGGGGGTGAGCCTGGAGGTGTCTGTTCTCGTGTGTTTTCCAAATGTTCTCTCATGAGCCTGACCTGGAAACAAGCTGGAAGCTTTGTTTGAAAATGAAGTAAGTTCAAAACTCCTCTCAGAGGCAGCCAACACCCTTAGTCATCTGGCCGTATTCTGTCTTCATAGACTCTTTTCCTAAAGTAGGCCTCCCCCCAGGCCCTAGACTCCAGCAGCTCCACCTCGCCATCCCAAGAAGCTGCCACAAGTGCAGTGATGCTTGCTCCACTTTTGTGGGCACTGTGTGAGCACTCTGTAGGTTGGAATTGTTTATGTGTAGTCTTCATAACCCCTGTGAGGCGGGTGTCATTCCCACTTTACAGAAAAGGAAAAGGAGACCCAGAAAGAATAAATAAGGCACACGGCCAGTAGGGTCTGAGCTAGAGTTGGGCTCCAGAGTCCAAGCTCTGCCCACCCTGCTTCGTGGCTTCCACGCCTTGGATGGCAGTTCCTCGGCCTGCACACCCTCCTGCTCTGCTCTGTGGCCCCTACCATTTGTCAAGACCCAGTCACCTCAAATGCTACCCACCTCTTGAAATCTTTTTTCTCTCCTCTCAAGAGGCACACTGTTTCTTCTGCTTCTAGAACACTCCATGGTCCTAGCACTGGTTTTATTTTGCCCTTCGTTGGGACAGCTGGTTGTTTACACATCCCTACCAGGTCACAAGCTTGTAGCTGCCTAGAACCGTGCTTCCCCTCTGTGTGTCCCTGTGGTGCAAAGCTTCAGCAGTGGGAGGTTAGGCCAAGAGGAAGGTGGTGATATTTTTTAATTTGTCTTGTTTTCCCACCTGACACATACGTGCAGGTCTGTGGTCTGACTGACTCTGGCTAAGCTGTTGAGTTGTCAGCAAGGCGGTGCCACCTCTGGGCTTCACTTGTGCTCCTGATTTAGGGTCATTTGCTTGGTCCCTTTGGGCCCCAGTTTCTCAGTAGTAAAATGAGAGGAATTGGTTTTGGTGATCTGTTGAGTTTCCAACTCTAAATGTCATAGAGTTCCAGTTTTTATAGTAGTAGCTAAGTACAGATAACTGGTAAAATTTTTAGCAATTGAACTTTTAAGGGGTTGTTTAACACTGAATTTGACTTAGTTTTCCCAGCAACCCTGTGTAGTGGGTGAAGAAACAGGCCCAGAGTTAACTTGTCAAGGTTATGTTTCTTCTACACAACTGATGGGGAACTTGCTATCTCCTTTTAAATGCAGTTTGCTTTCAAATTTAATTCCTTGTGTCGGGGAGGAAGAATTTTTTTCTGCCCTTCAAGGTTGTTCTAGCTGGACTAAATTAAATTGACATGGGACAGATTAAGAGAAAATAAAATTTAATTTCATATGTATGGAAAACCCACACAGACATGAGATTCCAGAGACAGGTAAAATGAAGTATATATGTCATCCCGAGCTAAAGAGAAGGGTGGGTAGGGACCTGGGACTTTCAGGGGGAAGGAAAGCATTTCACAGGAAAATGAAAACGAGTAAATGTTTGGTGAACAAGTGTTTGCTGGTCCACAGAAACAATGGGACACAGAGTGGACTTTGATCAAACAGGCCTTGCTAGGTCCTCCCCGTCCCCCATACCTAGTTTGTATCATAATGTAGTTATCTGTGGTGGTAGCTTTGTTCCTGGGGCATGTCCTCCATCTAAATTCTTTTAGACAGTAGGCAGAGGGAGTCTTTTGGGCCTTGTTTCCAGCTGGCATAATCTGCCTGCCAGAGAGGCCTGGCTTGGGGGCAGCCTGCCTTGGCCCCTACATTTGTGATGCTGCCCCAAGGTGTATTGTGTCTGTCCCTGGCCAGTGGCTGGAGCATGGGCATGCATTGTCTTATGATTCCAATGGGAGGAAATGTCAGCACTGGTTTCTTGGGAATCCTCAGGTTTACTACTCATCGGTCTTTTTGTTCCAGGGTGCTGTGCCAGGTTCTCTGCCCGTAGCAGCCTCTACATTCACTCCAAGAAACACCTGCAGGACGTGGGTGCTCCGAAAAGCCGTTGCCCGGTGTCCAACTGTAACAGACTCTTCACCTCCAAGCACAGCATGAAGGCGCATGTGGTCCGACAGCATAGCCGGCGCCCAGGTCTGCTCGGTTTACTTCTCTCTTAGGACACTGCAAAGATGTGTACGCTCGTCATGTGTCAGAGAAGCCAAAGCATGTCTTTCCTTCCTCTGCCCTCTTCAGAAGTTGTCTGGTTATAGGTTAAATTAATTGAGCACAGTGAAGTCTTACTGGCCCATGGACCATGGCTGCCAAGCCTAGTGGCATCTTTTGGACTCTTCTGCCACTTCTTGCCTCTGACCCTTAATTCCTCCCTTATCTCTGAAGTGCTTCCCTTGAGGAGCATTCAGTTAGTTAGTTAAGTTATTTTTATTTATTTTATTTATTTTTTAGTGTTTTACTTGGCTTTTCCTAGCACATGTCTCCCAAGTCTGTCTCCCTCTTTGACCTTTGTCCTGAATTCTGAGCCTGCCCCTCCCTTGTTTCTGTCTTCACTCCTCTCTCTGTCCCGTTGTGCGGAGCGGTGTTTCACCTTGTGAGCAGGGGGCGGGGCTTGAGGGCCTGGGTAGGGGAGGGGGGCGAGGAAACCACAGCCGTAGTCTGGAGCGGGGATTCTGGGCACGTGAAGGCCTGGTCATCTGGCCGCTTGGTGGCATGGGACTGACGGTCTGCCTCTCGAGACTGCACGCACAGCCTTATGGGCAGACCGTTGAGGGGTCTGGGTGGCCATGTTGTGCCTCTGCCTTGGAGCTCGCACCACCCTGCTCTCTGGGGTGCGGTGGGGTTGCTGCTTCCGGCCAGGGAAGTCCTCGCTAGCCGTGCGGTTACTTGAGCATGCTGCCTCCCTGCCGCCTGGGTGACAGGCAGCGCCAGCCTTGGGGGCACAGCTACTTCCCGGTGGGGGGGTCCAGGCGACACACAGGTCCTCGAGCTTCAGTTTCCTCATCTTTAAAACACGGAAGAGAATTTGTGTAGTTTTCCGAAGGAAGTGTCCTTCCTCTGGCTTCTTCCCACCCTGTTATAGATGTGGTCACCTCACTCCTTTGGCTCTAACGTAATTGCCATTTCGCTGGGATTTAAGAAGCTGCCCTTCTGAACTCTAGGTGTTATGAGGACTCATATGAGAGGCTGTCCCCTCAACTCACAGAGTCCAGTCAAGAGCTGTAGGCTGGTGTTGAAAGGCCCTCAGGGGTTGGGTTGCTACTTCCGTCTCTAGAACTTACCCCTTGCCGCTCTTGGCTCTCAGCTGGCACTGTGGGGTACCGTGCACCTGGGCCTCTTTGCTCTTCTTCCTTTCCTGGCTTGGCTCATTCAGAAGTCAGCGACAGCATCATTCATTCCACAGGAGTTTTCTTAGACTATGTCTCCATGTGAGAGCCTCTTAGGGGCTCTGTAGTGCCTGTGTTTCCCAGGCCCTGAGTTTATAATGTGCCGTTGACTGACTTGTGTGTCATTCTCCCCTGCTGTGGTCAGAGGTGGATAACTAATGTAGTATCCCCGCGCTAGCCTCGTGTGAAACTGGTGCTTGGGAACCTGCATTGTTGTGGACTGATGCTGCCAGGGGCTCTGCCAGGTCCTGGGTTGGCTGTTGGAGTCCCCTCACGGTGGTCCTGGGGCAGGGGCATCTTCACTGCTCTGTCCCTGATGAAGCTGAGGTGGAAAGGAGAGGGATTTGTCTGAGGTCGCATACACTGAGAAGTGCTGGAGCGAGGTCACGATTGTAACCTTGGTCTAGACGCTCTATTAATTAACATTTAATGATTTCTGAATATCTCGGCAATAGCAGGTGTCCAGTAAATATCTGTGATTTCAGTGCTAAATAGGAAATTTGTGAACACATTGGTGTCCACACCGAGATTATTATTAATTTTTTATCCCTATGAAATTCTCAAGATAGTCAAGGGAATTTTTGGAAGGTTTTGAAAAAGTGACAGTTTTCCATTCTTAATTTCTGAATCTCTGCCACTTTTTAAAGTTGTTTTATTGGTTCTGAGATACTTAGTGAAGAAGCAATAATATATCGATACTATTTTTAAACTTCGAAGTAGTTTGACAGCTAAAGAAGATAATATTTGGGATTTGGTTATTTATTTTGGGAGGGTCTGTAGTGGATTTCTTTCATAGGTTTGCATTAGAACTATAACAGGCACTCTGGGAGCTGGTGTCCACCACTGGAAAGTATGAGTTTGGGATTAGCTAACAGTTGGTGTAGGAGGAATAGAGCCAGAGAACTGAGAGAGCCTTTTCCCTTTGGCTGGGCACTGGCATTTTCTAGAAGCTTCAGCTACAAATTTCTTGGGAAGGATTAACTTCAGGGCCTTGTTTGGCTCCCTTACCCAAATACTTTGTATTCCCATCTTTCTGTTTAGTTGGTGCTTGAAGAGTCCTAGGATTTGGGATGGTTGATTGGGTGTACTGGTGTATAAATCTCTGACTTGAATATTCATTGAAATTTTTTAACATTTTATTTTTAAGTAATTTCTACACCTAACGTGGGCTCGAACTCACAACCCCAACCGAGATCAAGAGTAATGTGCTCCACCAACTGAGGCTGGCACCCCTCAATGAAATTTTGTAAAAGTATGTTAATGCTCATTATTCCTCCAAGGGTAGCCTGTTCACGTTACTTAATTGAATAACAGAGAATCAAATATTTGAAGAGTGATGTGAACAACTGAGGCTGAGTGAACAATTAAGACTAAAGAGGGATTTACTAAATTATTTTTGCTGTAATCATTAAGTGCTGCTTAGGGGCCAGGCGCTGGTGCCTGGTGCTGAAGGGACACTGTGGGTCAGGTAGATTCCCTATCCTCAGGATGATCATGGCCTAGGGGAAGGAAGGAGTGTTGGAGGTTGCAAATATAGTGGTTGGGGGAGAAGCTTCAGGAGAAGCTCCATGGAGGGGACACAGCTCCAGAGTGCCTGGGGGCTGATGGTCTTAGTTCTCTGTAGTCCTAGGGTTGGGACCTTGAGCCAGGGCCTTGATCCCAGAGCATGACAGACAGGACAGTTTTTTTTTCCCCACTGATCATCCCCAGATGACTCAAATTTGTTTTGGAATGGCAGCTAGTTGTGGAGTGGGGCATAGATTTTGATGAGACATGAGCTGACACCAGCCGATTCCAAAAATATCCCAGAGCCAGAGTTCAGCTTGTTTCTGACTTCTGAAGACTTGTGTTCTGTGGAAGGTTTTACGGGCTTCTGAGCGCAGTTCTTGTTGTGTAGCAGAAAGAGTATAGGGTTTGAAGCCAGAAAGACATGGATTCAAGTCTTGCCTCTTTCTATTACCAGCTGATGTCACTTTAGGAAATGTTATTTAGACTCTCAGGTCATTTCCTATCTGGAGAGATCCCTGTGAGCTCGAGGATTTGTGATACTGTCTGTAGAATGCCTGATAGGTTATCAAGCAATGCATTTCTTCAGTGTGTGGCCACCTTTGATGTACCAGGCCGCAGGGACAGGAGGAGTAGATGTTGATGTTACCTTGAAGGGTTGTTTGCTACATAACGTCTCAGCACAAACAAAATTTCCGAGTCTGCTAAAGTGCATAAAACAGCTGGAGCGTTCATTTCTCTTTCAGATCTCTTCCCTCAGCTTGGAGCTCCGAGTTCTCTTACGCACAGCAGTGAGCTTGGCAGCCCAGGCCAAAGTGAGCTCAACAACATAGACCTGGCAGCGCTCTTCTCTGATGCACCTGGTGATGGTGGTAGTGCGGTGGGGGCCTCAGATGAGGCGCTGAACTCTGGAATCCTGACTATTGATGTTACTTCTGTGAGCGCTTCACTCGGAGGGAACCTTCCTGCTAATAATAGTTCCTTGGGGCCCATGGACCCGCTGGTGTTGGTGGCCCACAGTGACATCCCTCCAAGCCTGGATAGCCCTCTTGTTCTTGGCACAGCAGCCACAGTTCTTCAGCAGAGCAGCTTTGGTGTGGACGACGTGCAGACTGTAAGCGCAGGAGCATTAGGCTGTCTGGTAGCTCTGCCTGTCAAGAACTTGAGTCCGGACCCACAGGCTTTGACCTCAGGTGGTCATTTAGCAGGCAACACCACCATACTGACCTCTCCGAGCCCCCCACCTGGAAACACCGGTGGCCCAGAACTGCTGGCTCCAATCAAAGTGGAACCAGACTCACCTCCCGGCCCTGACACCGTGAGGCAGCAAGAACGGAGCCGAGGGGCGCCCAGGTCGGTGTTCTGCAGCCCTGTGGAAAAGCACAGTCCTCAGAAAGACACGGGGCTCAGTGCGGGGACCGGCAACTTCTATTTGGTATGAAGTGCTCTATTCAGTCACCACCGCCTAACTCACTTCTCTTACACTCAGTTTTGAGGATGTTCTGGATTAATCGTTCATGTGCAGACATTTCTTAACTGGTTTGCGAAAAGACGGAGCCCTGGACTACAAGTCTGGAAATCTGAATTCTGATCTTGAGTCTGGAACTGACTAGGTTTTACGACCTTGAGGAAATCACTTACCTGTCTGAGCCTTAAGTTCTCATTTATTTCTAAAATGAGGGGGTTTGGCTAGATGATTTCTAAGGTCCTTTTGAGTTCTGTGATTCTGTGATGATGTGTTTCTTTTCTTGAAAAAAAAAATGGGGTATTTCATAATGTTGAAATGTTCTGCCTTTGTGCTTTTCACGGAATAACAGGTCCTTAGACTTAGTAATGGCCAGAGGAAGAGGAAGCATGACATCAGGTTTAATGGAAACTTTAAAACCATGCAAAAAAAAAAAATTTTTTTTTTAAATTAGAATTAACAAGGAGAAAAGGGAGTGGTTTGTGAGCTTTTGTTTCTGGAGGGTTATAAGAGTACTTCTCCAATTTTGAGGCTCGACCGTTAATATACTTTAATTATATTTATGTCAGTTAATACATTTAATATAATTTAATTTAAAATTATTTAAAGATTCTTGGGGGAGAGTCTGATTATTTCCTCAGTTTCAGATGGGTATGATCAAATAGGTTTTTTCTTTGTGGCACAGGTTAAATTTGATGGTGATATTTATATTGTTCAAAATGTTAAATCTTATTTTACCCCAGTTTTTTTTTTTTAAAGTTAAATCCTTTGAATTTGAATCAGTTGTGAGGGATGTGGTAACCCATCTACCATGAGCCTTTCAGTCTGAGAGAAGCACAGTCTGTCATACCTTTTCTAATGGCTCCCACTTGTCAGTGGCATAGCCATACTTGGCAGCCTTTGCTTAGGTGGCTAGAGGGGGAGATGGCCGAGGCTCAGAGGTCAGTGGGGAGGCAGGGCCTGTATGGAGGGCCTTGGTGCCTTGGGAAACCAGGTGCCTTGGGAAACCATAGTTCCTTGGTGCCACTGCATCTCCAGAGCCGTAACTGTGGGTGGAGGCAGGATGAGCCGCCATGACCTTGATCCTGACTCCTTGTTCATTTTCTCGCTAGCTGTGTGACGTTGGGCTGCCTCGATTCTCTGAGCACAGATGGTGTGTGGTGAATGGGTTACAGGTATGCCACAAGCTGTTGAGGGATGTTCTTTTTCTTTTTGTAGTGGTAAGCATTAAGCTGTTTTTCTTATCACACGTTCACAAATTTACAGAAGTGAAGTCCCATTTGAATACTGTTTGGCTCCCTCCGTAACCTTTCTGAATTGAGTAATGTAGTTCTTGTTTTGGTGTATATAACTTTTGAGTCCGGCACCTGCCACCAGAGCGGCCTCTGTAGTGGGTATATGAAATAGGACCTCCCTGGGTCTGCTGTACAAGTGTTGTGTGGCAGGTGCTGGAGAATGTTGAGAAGTGCTGCAGTTAATTAATCCTGAACCACCAAGGGAAGGCTGGTTGTTTCAGACAGCAGAGAAGTATGTAACTCCTTTTATAACAGTTTCTGTGTAAAGTATTTTAATATGTTTTAGACTTTGGAGGAATAAACTTTGCTTCTCTGGATAATAAAATTATGTATATTGTTCCAACTCTCATTCTGTTTAGTTGTCACTATAATTGGATGTAACATTTGATTCTCCGTGAACCTTTGCTGGAGATCCTCAAAGATTATTGGACTCTACTCTGTTCAGGAGGCAGACTTAGTACATTTCCGTAGTTCCCTTGCTACCCTTCCTTTACTATTTGGAACGAGTGACTGACACACTTTTCTTTGGTCTCAGGAAAGTGGGGGCTCAGCAAGAACTGATTCCCGAGCCATTCAACTAGCCAAGAAAAAAAAGCAGAAAGGAACTGGGAGCAATGCAGGTGAGGCTGTGTGTGCTGGGGGATTGAGGGATCTGAGTCACCCTGGGCCTTAATTAAGGACAGAAGAAACACGCAGAATAGGTGTTTTTATGTTCTTTGTGTTACTTTTATGTTCAAAATGCCCTTTATCAACTCCTTAGTTTTATGTGAACTTAAGAAAAAATTATCAGCAAAATTTCCAGCATCAGTATGGACATGTTTTATTTATCTAAAAAAAGCTGTGCAAAAGTTAGTGGTCACAGACTCAGTGTCTGCTGCCTAGCAGGCTGCTAGGACAAAGAACAGACTGTCCAGGTGTCAGAAGAGCAGAGGTGTGAACCTAACGCTAACTGGCCACTGGCCCCTGACCTTGGCATTAGGAAGAGCCTGGGGACAGGCTTCTGCTGTCCCAGGAGCAAGGTTCCATGGAGCCAGCCCCTGGGTGGCACATGGCATTGTGGATATCCAGTTCCGAGTTCTGTTGAAATCTTGTCATTTTAAAATGTCAGCAAGTTTTCTGGAATTTTTTTAAAAAACACTCATTGGACCAAACCAGACCTAGTTTGTGGCCTCGTGTACCTATCTGTCCGTCCATCCAGAAAGTGGAATAGAGGGATGCGGTGCTTAAAGAGACTGTGGTAATCCTTTTGTAAAGGTAACAGTGATTTCTTCTAATACCATTTTCTGTATATTTCATGTGTCTCTTTATCTAAAATTTGTTTGACTAGTATCAAAGGGTAGGGTGCCTGGGTGACTCGGTTAAGTGTCCGACTCTTGGTTTCAGCTCAGTTCATGAACTCATGGGTCGTGGGATCGAGCCCTGAGTCAGGCAGTGCGCTCGGCAGGGAGTCTGCTGGAGATACTCTCTCTTTTCCTCTCCTTCTGCCCCTCCTCCCACACACATGTGTGTGCTCACTCTCATGCTCTCTCTGAAAAAAATAGTGATTTCTATAATCAGAGAAAATGTACAATGAATTGTTCAAATTATACAACAATGAATTATACAATGTAGGGTTAGCAGTACAGTTTATGTCTTTCTGTTCTTAATATCATGGCTTCTTTAACTCCCTCTTTTCTGTTAATCAGTTTTCGTAAAGCAGATATTGCCCTATAACGGATGTCGTTCATGTTCATGTTCAGTGTGACTCGGGAAGGTTCAGGGCAGTTCAGAAAGTGTCCAGATGGCACTTGTAGAGATAATAAAAGAAGGTGTGTGTGGGGGGGGGAGAGGAGATATGTAGAGTGAAAGAATTCAGCACAGACTAGGTAAAGTCTGTGAAGGAAGCCAGATGCCTTTAACCTGATAGGACAATCTCCATTTGAAGGAAGAAGAACACTGAGCATTCAGGTATATAGGTATATAGTACGTGTTACATTGATTGCATTGCTTTGGGGTGGCCTCTGTAGAGGTGGTTTTATTTATTTTTAATTGTTCTTATAAATATTTCAGCATTATCTTTTAATAAGAAGGTCTCTTAAAAAACATAGTCATATGCTATTCTTTAAAAAATAACAGTATTTTCTTAATATCTAGCAAGTGTTAAAATTTTCAGTTGGCTCAAATGCTGTAAATGTTTCTTATAACTCTCTGCTTAAATCAGAATCCAAGTAAGTTCCTCTTGGAACAACTCTTGTTTGATATGTTTCTTAAGTATCTTTAACATGTATAGGTCTCTCCCTCCATTTCTCTCCCATGTATTTGTGGAAGAAACTGGGTGGCTTGTCCTGTCGAGTTGGCCAGTCTAGATTTGCCCGATGTCATCGCTATGCTGTAGTTTTAACAGGTTCCTCTGTCTTCTGTGCTCTCTGTAAATCAGTAATTACATTTAGAGGCTTGATATGATTGAACTTTGATCTGGTGGGTCAGCTGTCGGGGGTTGACAAAAGTCATTTGCCAGTGGTGGGGCGCTCTTCCAGAGGTCCCAGATATCTGGTGGTCGGTCTGTCCTGTGTTGTTAGCAGCCATTGATGACCAGTGACTAGATTTATTAATTCCTGAGGGTTTGCAGAAGGATATTTCTCATTACTAGCTAGACTATTTCTGTAAAGAGCAGCTTCTCATCTATCCTTTACCTTGAAGTCCATTCATCCCGGAATGTCAGGATCAATGAATCTTTTTCTTTATCAGTTTTCAAAATAATGAACTGGTTTCTTTGCATCCTCCAGTGGTGGTCAGAGTATTTTTTTACACATTGATTTAAACATTTTATAGGCTTTTAAGGGGAAATAGAAATCTGGAACCTGCCACATATCCAACCTCGAAATGTATATGTAGTAGAAGAATTTTCTTGTATTTATGAAGGCTTACATCTTTGCCCCCCACATATCTTTCTTGAAAAGCCCTCTTGAAGTCTTGTCATCAGCCAAGAGATAGAGGAATAATCCCTTTTCCAGAATCTTTGGGGCCAACTCTATTCCCGCCCCCCCGCCCCATGCCATTTTATTTTACTAGAACTTCAGACTTTTTCAGACTTGCGGAAAAAATGATTCCCTAGTTGGCCATACTCTGTGAATATTGTTACTCGTTCGTGTTTTCCAGCTGTAGAACCCTTCACCCAATCTCCCCTCATGTTACCATCTTCCACAGTCATAGTGTGTTTACCCAGGCTAGGGAGTGATTACCGCTGCAGTCCTAGGGAGTGGACTGCAGACTTTATCTGGATTTGACCAGCACCCCACTGGTGTCCTTTTGCTGATCCTGTCTGGGGCCCCAGGCTGCACTTGGTTGTCACAACTCCTTAGTCTCCTACAGTCTGGGTCTGTTCCTCAGCCTTCCTTGCCCTTCATGATACATTTGAAGAGTGCTGGTCCTTTACTCTGCTTGGGCTTGATGCTTTGTTTATTAGGCTGAGGTGATGGATTTTTTTGGAGCCAGAAGTGGGGTACCTATCTCATTGTGTCTTATTGGGGTCCATGCAATAAACATATTACCAGTGATGTTAACCATTATCACTGGTTAAGGTGTTGTCTGTCAGATTTCTTCATCATGAAGTTACTGTTTTTCCTTTTACATTGAATAAATACTTATTTTGAGGTAGATACTTTGAGATGGTGTGCAAATCTCAGGGATCTGCAAGATGACCCTGACTTCTGACACCAGCTACAAAAGTTCGAGGGTCTCCGAGACCACTCTTAGGTACACTAATTCTTTAGGAGGGCTCAGAACTCAGTTATAGATTATTGGAGTGAAAGGATATAGAATAAAGTCAGCCAAGGGAAGAGGAGGGGCATAGGGCAGGCTACAGGTAAGTTCCTAGTGTGAAGCTTCCCATCAGCCTCTCCTTGGAGTTGTAGATAATGCTGACTTCTCCCATTGTGTGACAGTATACATGAAGTATTGCCAACCAGGGGAGCTTACCTTAGTCTTCATGTCCAGATATTTATCAGGTCTTGATTGCACAGATGGCTGCCTGTCCATGAGGCTGACTTAGTCTCCAGCCCCTCCGAAGGTCAAGCTGACACTGTGACCCAAGACCTACACTGTAAGTCACACTGTTAGACTCTCTGGAGTAGCTGAGAACTCCCAGGTAAACAGACACGCTTCCCAGGTAGGACTTTCCAAGGACCTTGTGATTTCTTCTCAGGAGCCAGGGGCAAAGGCCAGACTTGACCTTGGGCAAGGTTAATCTGCCCCTGCATTCTGTACAAATATCCTGTTTCTCCTTAAACCTCCCATCAATTCAGTGCTTACGGGTAGATTTTGTTACTGTGATGTTCTAGTGGTGATTTTTTCCCCCTTATTCTTGTACATTTATTAGACGACTTCCGTAAAGAAAAGGTGTCTCTTCTTCCTCATTTATTCACTTATGTCAGTATGGACTCAAAGGTGGTTATCCTTTAGGCTATTATAAGGAATGTTGGACTATAATCAGTATTATCAGTATTTATTTTGCTGCAGATTGTTCCAGCTTTCGCCACTGGGAGCTCTTTTGGTTGGATTCTTGTGCCCTTTCGACGTGTCCTGGCTTTTTAGGGGGGCATTTCCCTACTTTCTGGCACCATCGGTGTTTTCCCTGCTCCAGCCCAGTATTCAGCCACTCCCCCAAGGAGCGCTGTTCCTTTTATTAGGAAAATGTATTAGAAACCAAGGTCTGGGTGCTCCGTGTGGTTGTTGCTCATTGCTACTCAGCTGTCATTGTGTCTAGGCCCTCCCAGCAGACAGTGCTAGGAAGTATCTTCATGTACATTAACATGCTGGCTGTGTTTTGAATTCAAAATATTTCACGTTTTAGAATGGTAATAAGGTTAAGATTTGTAACCATGCATGTGAGTATTTATATGAGAACTTATTCTGTATTTCTTAACATGCCCAGTTACTACATCAGCACTTTTCAGTTAAATATATTCATTTAATATGAGTTCAGGTCAGGTGTTGGCTGGTAATTATTTTTGGCACCAAATTTAGGGGGGGAAATGTGGGTTTGGGAGCTTTTTGGGTTTCAGGATTAGAAGATTGTTGTGTAGTAAGTCTAAACAGAGAAGTTGAAGGGAAACAGGACTTAGTGGAATTAAGTCACTTAAACACAGTTGGCATTTTATTATCACTGTAAAGTGCAGAGTGCACATAGTGATTCTTATAAAATGTGCAATCTGAATGATTTGAAAAATAAGGTATAGGGTCTAAAATTCAAGATTATTCCCATTGGGTTGCTATTGCATATAGAAAATAAAATTGTGCCAGTTTCTGTACCTTTAGTATTGTGGTTTAGCCCCTCAAAATAAACCAAGAATATTTTCTCAACATAAAAAAGTAAAGAGAAACTTTCATTCTTGAATCTGATAGTGAAACAAACTTTTTTTTTTAATGTAGCCAACTATGAATAGATGTGTACCTTTCTTGTCTCTTAAGAGCTGGGGAAAGGAAAGAACGGATAGGACTTACAGGAAGACACAGTAAACAGCAAAACCTACTGACTGCCCTTTTTCTTGACTGAGTCAAAAAGGAAAATCCCAATTCTGCGTTGTCTAAAAGAGGCACACCCTGGATGGAAATATTTAGGAAGGTTAAAATTTAAGACCAG